GCTGTAGTCTACATGCTATTGCAGGGGTCAGGGGAAGAGTCTGGAGACTTGGTGGGGGTGGTAGAAGCCTGTATGTGTCTGGGAGGGCATTTAACATGCGACTGTGGCAATCCGAATCCCATCTGAACCCCCTGTAAAGAGGGCCCCCTCCCAGAGCAGGAGGCCCAGCACCAGGAATGCAGGTCTCGGCACAGAGTGCAGCAGGATTCTTGTCCAAGTGGGTGGCTCTCAAACAGGGGCTTGCCTCAGAATCCACTGCAGGTCTAACACAGGGCTGGGATCCACACCTGGGAACTTCGAAGGTCCAGAGGGAACCAGGACCCAGCTGGTGCCGATGGTGCTTGGAGGGCCTTGCGGAGAATCTTGGCTTTGGGCCTGTTTCTTGGGGGCCTAAAGATTCATCCTTGTGCCTGTGACTCAAGGCGTCACTCAAAGCAGGTTTCTAAGAAGCCCTGACTTCAGATTCCGTGAAGGACACCTTTGTGTAACAGTGTTCTCATTCTGTGTGTGGCTTGGTATTTTCCCCTCCTTTTCTAACCTTTAATGCTATTAAGATCTGTTCATTCATTTTTCTAAATCTCCTAGTCTACTATGTTGGGAAAATGCTGCCTAATGGTCACAGTGGAATGAAATTCTATTCTTCTTCACAGTATCATTGAATCATCGGCACCTGATTTTGTTGTGTTTCCGATGAATAAGATGGTCTGTTTTCAGCCTTTCTTGTCGTGGTAGGAATGCTTTATGACTCGGGGAATAGTCGGTTGCTGTGAATGAGGTGTGTGTGCTTGAAGAGGGCTCCGCTGTGTGCAGGATTCTGCAGATGTCCCTGGGAAGACTACTTGAGACCTATGTCTACCACCCACACACTTACATCAATCACGATGGTTCCTCCCTAGGTTTCTAGACTCCATTTTGGAAATATAGACCCAGAAAGAGTAGGAGCCTAGAGTCTGTGGATCCGCCCCCCCCCACCCGAAGGTTCCCTCCAGTTACCACCAGGGTGGTCCCTGTGGGTCCTATGGCCCACTGTCCCCTGGTTCACATTTCCCATGACTAAGACACAGATGTCCGGGGGCTCACCGACCCTGGGGGATCACTAACACAGACTTGGGTGCTTACTGCCAAGGGCTCCGTACCCCTGGGATCCGGTGCAGTGACAGGCTCCTTAGGCTGCGGGACTCTCACAGCCGGAGTCTATTCTCACAGTCCAGGAGGCTGGTCCAGAGGTCTCCTCGGGTGGCTGTACGTTTCCCAGGCCACCACAGGAGGGGGCCTGTGGCTTGGCATTGTCCCCAGCGGTGGGCATGACCAGTGCTGTGAGTTGAGCCACGTTTGGGGGGGACCAGGCTGTTCCTTCAGAGTTCAGTGCTCAGCCTCCTGGTGAGAAATGACGTCCAGCGACTCTCCAACCCCTAACGTCCCACTGCCTAGCTTCTCCCTAGCGTCTGTTCTGGTCTCCTGCCCCTTCTCAGACTTGCTGGGTTCTGGGTGAGGTCCGGGCTCCCTCCAGGCTTCTCTCTCCCGGGCCTCCAGCTGCACAACATCCTCTGCTGAGCACTGCTCTTCTCCATGGAACTCTTGACAGAAGGAGGGGGTGTTGGAGGTCTTAGCTCCTCATCAGTCACTGGGGAGACCATTACCGTCCTCTGTGGGGGTCTGTGCCGGCGTCTGTGTGGAAGGTGCAGGTAAAGTGGGGTGCTGTGCTTGCGTCTCCTGGACTATTCCACGCATCCGCCCCCTGGAGATGCTCGGTCATCACCCACAGCCTGGGAGGGCAGGCCCGTGCCTGCTGCGACTTCCACCGTCTTTGTGTGGCAGCTGGCTGTGCCAGAAGGCTGTCTGTCTGCCCGGGGAAGCTTCTCTGATGCTAACCCTGGGGCTCTGTAGGGCTCCCTCCAGGCACCGCCTGAGCTGGGTTGCAGGCAATGCGGGTGGTCAGGAAGGCCAGCGCAGGTTGGTGTCCCAGTCACCACTGCTCTCATGCCCACGTCAGTGAGGAGAGGACAGGACGCAGTTGGAGGTCCCCAGCCCTCACCCAGGACCAGCACAAGGCTGTGTAAGGCCCTTTCCTCTGAGTAACTCGGCGCCACTCTGACGTTGCCCTCAGGCTGTCTGATTCCTGGTCCTTCCTGGTCCCCATCTCTGAGCATCATCCTCTCCGGCCTGGACGAGATGGCAGCGTCCTTCATTTCTGACTTCCGCCTCATGTGGTACTTGGATGAGCTCAAGAAGAATGAGTTCCTGCAGTTCAAGCAGCTGCTCCAGCAGGAGACTGTGCAACGCGGCCTCCAGCCCATTCCCTGGGCGCAGGTGAAGAAGGCCAAGCGCCAGGACCTGGCGAGCTTGA